GCGATGGAGAGAGGAAAGACGCCGAGGTGGACATCGAGGGAGATCATCCCCGGGGAGAGCAAAAACGAAGAGGCGCTGCAGCGGCAAAGGACACTGTAATATCGCATCGGAGTGGAACCAATGACGCGACGGCGCGGCGCGGCAGGAAGGAACGGAGGATGAGGATGGGATCCGCAAGGAGGACGCAAGACCCGTCGCGTCGCGTCGCGAGAAAGACGGCCCCAGCGCGACGTGCCCGGTGGCCCGCGCTGCGCAGCCCGGTAGAAACGGCGCAGCCGGCTTAAGGCCCGTGGAATTATCCTCCTGTAAACACCTACCTAATTAAGATTGGAACATTTTAACGTCCCGCTCGGGGACCCCAATAAACCGCCTAACGTACGGCCAGTTTGTTAGGCGCTTATGGGATCGTTTAATTAATATTGGCGTCGGAGCAGCGCGCCCGGCTCGAAACGGCTGACGACCACCTCCGGCGCCTCGGTATCTTTGCCCCCGTACACTTGCAGTTTGCGACTTGCACGTGTAATCTCGTGTACGACGTCCAATTCGATTCGTTCGCGTATATGTGTAGCGTGCACGTGTGTGCGTGCTCGCGATGGGCGCCCACGGTCCCCGGGTATATTAGTCCCGGGGCTGATGGTCATTTGCTGTGTCGCGACGGTACACGCTCGATGGTATCCTTATCGGACCCTCGTCCTGCGGCCACGAGTGCATATTCTGCTTGCTACGCGCGAGCACGCAAACACTTAATCGATCGCGGGAATGTTCGCGCGCGGATATACACGCTCTTTTCGTTTATATGTTTAAGTTGAATCGTAGAATTTTTTAATACAAATTTTCTAAAATGTTAAATTTTCCATTATTGAAAATTTTATAAGTCTCTTATTCGCGCGTTTATTGTATTATTTAATTGAAAAAAAGCTGTTTAAAATATAATAATATTCTTTTCTTTCACATCGATATAGAAATTCAAAAAGAATTTATTTGAAAAATTCACGAACATGCAGATGTAACGAAGCGTCTAAGAAATACTGATAGATATTTATTAGATATTTATCCGCAAATTTCATGTAAAATCTACAGAATTTTAAATGTAACTGTGATTTTTGCGCATATTTTATTTCCATATCACAATTAAAATAAAAATTAAAAAGATAAATATTTGTGCGCTAATGTAAAATAATAACTCGCGGCTTTGAACCATATAACCACCGTGTTACCGACTTCCCATCGCAAGTCTCGAACACGTTCCTTCCGTGTCACATCCAGTATACGAGCATTCGCGAAAAATGCGACGGAGGTTGCTGCACCTAGCACCGAGACGCGCCGAGGAAGGGTACAAACGGACGCTCGTTGTCGTGGAAATTTATCATCGGCTTCCACGAGACGTGGAACGGGCGAGTGCTCGCGCATTAAGCGCGCGCTCGCGGGAGGGTTGCGCGAGCGTGTGGCATGAGGCCCCGGAGAGAAGAAAATAGAGTCACGGCGCGTTCCCGTGGTACGACGTGTTCTTGCGCGACCGAAGAGGGCGGCCAGGGCCGATTAATCACGGTCGCATTTTGCGGTTTTGTCGCGCGTCACGACCCACGTGCGTTCCGCGGGCTCCATTGTTCCGCGCCTAATCGTTCCGGGAACGGTGTCGGACAGTCGTACGCCGTGGGAGAGTTCCCGTCGTACGTAAAACCCGCGCGCGCGCGCGCGCGCACGCTCGCGCGGATCCTCGTATGCGCATTTTGCGCGAGAGCCCATCCTCCACACTCCTGGCTGAAGTGCGGTCTCGGAGTCCGGTTCACTTAAGAGCTACAACTTCAACTTAATATATTTGTTTTCTCTGACTACATCAGGTAGAACGATAAGCAAAGGATAACGAATTACTAGATTAGACTTAATTAATCCGGACCTTAATTAGTGCGATTTTAAAAGTATCGCGATTCCATCTTAATTTAAAAGCAATAACCCTAATGTAAAAATTAAATAAATGTAAATATTAAATTCTCTATACGGAACATCTTAAAGATAAAATAATTTTCATATATCAACTCCCCACTACGTAATTGTTCATAATTTTCTTAATGTATGTGTTCAATAAATCAATATATAAATAAATATGTTTAATAAGTCAGCATAAAATTATATCATTTCATTTTGTCCTCTCCGATGGATGATGGATAAAACCAAGACCTGAAACCGCATTCTCACACCGTTCCTGATGATCCAATGTTTTCATCAGCGCGTAATAACCGGTGTACCGCGTTTTTTTCCCAAAATTGAATTACCAAGAAAGCCTCTCCTCTCCCGAGGAGAGGAGCGTCCTCGTTCTTGGCCCCGGGGGAGGGGGGAGACGAGGATCGGAAATACGGAAGGAGGGGACGAAAGGAGGTGAGGGCAAGGTGGAGATTCTAAAAATGGCGTCGCGGACCGACGTGGCACACGGTAACTCCGGGGCCAATTTCGAGGGGCCATTTTTCCCCCGAAGGGGAACGTCGACGGCAGCCGAAAATTACCCCGCTCGGACCACCCAGTCGTCCCGCGGCAGACCAATCTCCTGGCCATGGGCTAATCGAGTCCAGACAGTCTCCCTTGGTGGGGCTAATTGCGCCTCACCACTTTCGTACCTCCGAGAGGTCGACCTCTCTATTAAGAGACTTTTACCCGGACGCGCTCGCACGCCGCGCCGTGCCGCGTCACGTATTAAATTGGAGGGTGTAAGCCTCGCCTCTCTAAGAGTCTTTTCTTTAAGGAGGGTTTTTTGGGGGGAGGGGGAAGGGTGGCTTGTGTGTGGGAATGCATGGAACCGTTGGTGGTAAATCGCCGTTGATCAAGTAATCTCGGACGTTCGTGACGGTATACAGGAAACGTCCTGTAAATATCCCCAGTTAGATTGCGATTTAAGCAATGCTGCACGCTATGTATTGTTTATTATTATGCTGTCACTTTGATTATTTTATAATGTATCAATGGACAAATACATTTAAAAAATCTACATTTAAATAAATTGTATATAAATATTTTTTTACGCAAAAAAAGATAAAAGTTAAATAAAATGTTCTTCGAAAAATAAATCCACGTATTTCATAAACTATATTTCCTATTAAAAACTTATTTAATATTTTATATAAATAAAAAACGATAACTAATCATCATTTTTACATTGATATTTAACGCTTATTATAGTTTATCTCAATATTAATCGTGAAATTAAATTTTCTCCAATTTGTGAATTTATACAAATGAAAATATATAAAAAATGATGCAAGAAACTCTGTTAGTCCCCAAAATTTTATAAATGAATAAACTGTCGCTCCAGCAGATTGGAAAATATAATAAAAAATAAAACAAGGGAAATTTTTTTCGGTTTATGGCTTCCGCTATCGCCGAGAGGCGATGAATGCACGCGATATGGCGCGAGCCTTCGGCAACCTTTATGGTTATGCGAAATTCCTCTTGATGGTGGCCGTAAAACTATTTTACAAAAAATGGCAGTAGTCCTTTTTACTGCCCGTGCGACTGTCGTGTATAAACCTGAATTACAGGTAAAAGCCCGTGTTCTACACGGCGCCTTGATATACGAGGCCTCCCAATTCTCGGTGTTTCCTTAATTTATCCCTATTATCACATCTCCAGGCACGAAGGGACAAAAAATTCCTCGTCGTGTGAGAACGTGTCAAACATCTTTCAAGATTAATCTTTTAGCACTTTTTTTTATTCTTAGTTTGACCAAAGATTTTGAAGTATCCTGTTCAAATAATGGTTATCATTAGAATAAGAAAAAGAGAAAAGAAAAGCAAACCAAGTGAATATCTAACGTCAACAATGGGCTGAAGCCTATTGACGTGCGCAATCTCTCAAGCTCAACTTCAAATTCTAAAGACAACAATGAAACTATTGTGCAAATATAATAAATTTTATATCGTATATCTTTACTGTTTCTAAACTGTTTTGTAAGTTTTGAAAATTGTTTTCAGCACATTTGAATTAAATATTAATAAATAAAAAAATGTTTAACGTGCAATAATATATCAGGATAGCGTTCATTGTATTAATATCTTAAATAAAAATATATAGAAATACTCTTACCTGTAATTTCAGTAGAGGAGACAGTTTATTTGAACAAAAGTTGGATTAAATAAACTGGAATATAAAATACACAATTGTTTATATATTTTTCCTTTTCATCCTAAGATAAATCGTCACTGCAAACAAACTGATAAACCTTAATAATGACAAAGACGAGATTCATCCGTGAGTATAATTTTATCTGTATATTGCGCGAAGATGCAATTCTAATAGATCAGTCTTATATACACAAACGAGAAGAATAAACCCTACAACAACGACGTATGGCTCAATAAGAAGTGTTCACCCGAAAAACGAGAGAATGTGTATATCTCGTTGGTCGGTAGACGCGCAGTAAACATTGATCGATCGAATCGTAACGTATGGCACAAAGCTTATGTCACGCGAAGGGAAAGCAGTGTAATAAGATACGGATACGCGTCAAACGAAAGCAAAGTCCCGAGTTTTTTCTCGGATATAATCAATATTTAAAAAATTTGTATTATAATAAAAATTCGATTCAGTATCATTGAAATATTTCCAATGCCACTAAATTCGAATTTATCACTTGGGACTTCGCTGAAAGTCGCAGCGATTTAAGCAGGAAAGCGATTCACCGGGCATCGCTGTGCGAATACCAGCGCGTTACGATACTTTGACGGATATGCATTACGTACATTACAGTATCTTATGTATATCTTAATACATATTACGAGCACTGGAGATACGTGGAAAGCCCGAAACATGATCGCCTCGCGCAGCGTTGGCGATGATAATAACAACTACATGTGAAGTCGATTCTACATAGTAGAAAGTCCACCACACATACACAAACACATATACACACACACAGACTTTCATCAGAGCGATGTGTTTTTATCAAAAGATATTCGAAATTGCATAAAAAAACAGTTTAATATTATTACATTTTTCTTAACAATACTTATTGTTAAGATAATTAAGACAATATTTTGTTAAGAAAAAACGTTTTTATATAATATTAGCGTAAATTATTATTCGTATTATTCTATTGCCAGCTTGGAGAAAGTAACAGTCTCATATCGCACATAACAAAAGGCGACGAAAATCTAGAATCGACTCTAATTGCAACAGTAAAAACCGTTGACTACAATCTATAAATCTGCCAACATTGATAATTACCATGCTCTACGTCAAATACAAACGTACGTGTCCAAAATGGCCAATTTTATAGCCATCAGCAATTTATAGGTACAGTCAAAGATAGGCATTATTTCGCGAAATGCGAGAAATCGCGTCTAACTGCATTCGCGACTCGCGTCTGACTTAGCTCGCGCATGCACTACTGACGTCCTCAATCCCGCTTCTCGCGTTTACACGTCGCGCACGATAAACCTTCTTGGAAATCCTACACGTCCTTCTCGCTCATCTAGATTTAATCCAGGCCTGTGTGATCGCGATAAATTGTAAATCACATATTGTCTGAATATTCGTCAATAAATATTCACGATCAAATCATATTCTAAAAATTGATATATTACAAACGCTATTACGTAATAGGGGCATTATCACGATCGTATCGAGAGGAGAAAAAAAACCGATTAGATCAACCGCCGATAGTGACGGCAACGATAGAAATCGAAAAGTTTCAATCGCACTAAACATCGACATTGAACAACCTCATAATACACTGCACACTAATACAAGCTAATTAACGCTTTTCGGCAATTATACTAGTAAAAAAACAGATGAGAAAAAGACTCGATTGCGTAATATTCCTCCCATTGTTAAATAAAAACGTACTTCAACACTCTGTAAATCTCTGCGCGAAACTTTTTAAAACTCTCAAAACCCTATAAAACTCTTCAATTATAACCTGGTCTATCGTTATGGCACACATCAATTTGCGCAAAGAATATAAATCATTCCTCTCAACATTGTCTTCTCTAATCCGCTAACACCAAGCAGAACAAGCTATCGCACCAACTCGATTCTCGACACTTTCAATATATCGGTACAAGTTTTTTCTTTCACTTACGTCGACACTAGCGGCAACTGTTGATGGTCTTCTTGATGAGACACATATTGCACGTGACCTCGCAACACCACCGGAACCTACACTGACAATTGACCTTCTCCTTGACGATTCTGGTGTCGTAGCCTCTACCGCAACAGAGGAGCTCACAGCCCTCGACCCCAGGACTAGTCGCGTTACACTGACGACCCGTCGTCCCCAGGGAGCCGGTTTTCCGGTTCGGCTTACAAAAATCCGGCGAGTCTTCGCTGTAGATCAGGTCGAATCTACCGGGCGGCTTGATCGTGGGACCCTCGGTAATGAAACTGTGGCCGTCGTTACTGGGGATGACTTTGGCCGCGCCGTCGAAGGACTCCTTCAGACGGTTGCCGACTTCCCGAAACGGCGGCATCTTACGCCAACAAGTGCGCACCGTGCAGGAGCCGGAAAGCCCGTGACACTTGCATTCGGTCCTCATGAAGTTACGTACGGCCTGAGGAGCGAATGCACATATCGCGTCGGGTGGTAACATATACATCCATTTTATCTTTTTAAAAGAGTCTGTCCTTTCAAATTCTAACAACGATATCTAGCATACAGAAATCGAGCCCAAAATGAAATATTTAATAATTAAAAAAAGTATCAAACTATATGAATCCTCGTCATAAATCGGTATAAATCCTACTCTATAATATCCTACTCTATGATATATATCCTCCAATTTTGTTTAAATAATATTTTGTTCGTCAGAATCTTGAAAATGAAATCAAGAACAATAGAATTGGAATATACTAATTTGGATTTCCATAAGTTCTTCGCAGTATTTTAAGATTCTTATAAGCATCGAATTGAGAATTGAAGATTAATTGTGATTTCGTTATTTCAACTTCAGCTAATGATTGCGTTGCAAGTCCGATATTGATTCGGTGCGCAGTTTAAATGGCTGAATAATGGATTTAAACATTCATAGAATTTATTAGGCACCAAGATCCAGTTGTGAAGATGCTCTTAAATTTTGTATTATTCACTTACGCGGTCTAGTTTAAATTAATATTGTTTTGCAAAATTTTTCGGAGACTGTCTCATAAAGCAAAAAAGCATGGCTTTTCCGTTGTATTGTGCATAATTGTGTGCAAAATTGGTTTCAGTTATCAAACATGAAATGACAATCAATTGGATAGAAACGCACGAGTATCAAAAATTATAAATAAACAGAGAATAAAAATAAAAATGACTTACCAGACGACCAGCGTCGTTATTGTGAAGCTTTACCAACGTTTTAATGTCACTTCTTTTGCGATACGGTGCGTCCATGAATTCCCGTGATTTTTTAAAACCAAAGTTTACATTATCGCCGCATCCTCCCCATTCCCAGTCTCCTTCCGTCGGCAAACTTTTCTTGGCTTCGATCGTACGCGCAAATTTAGCCAGACGGTTACCTATGGAAGTCGTCACATTTTTTTTCCTATTTTCAAAATGCAATCGCGAGAAAGACGGTGTAATAATAATCTATAATTTTTGACGCGTAAAAAAATAATCTCAATTTATACAGTTTTTAAGAACTTGCGAAAGTAGTGTTACGCTACAATCTTTCTCAAAATAGAGATATAAAAGTATGTATCTTTTAATTTATGTAAAAAGGTATTAATAATTTTAATGTATTAATGGACTTTTAAAAGGCCATAAATTACTGTAAATTCCGATGAGAAATTAATGGGAAATCGATATGCGGATATTAAATCACAAAGAGAGACTAAAAGAGTAAGCTTTTACCCTTCGACGTCATCTTATCGCAGGAGCATTCCACGAGGTCACCCATAGTGCAGGCTCTGGTAACCGCATAAGTAACTCCAGCGGCGGTGATGGCGTTCACGAAACCCGTCTCCCGCGTATCTGTGGGCACACATGGAGGGGAATCCGAGATCAATTAATGGACTATTACCGTGGTAGCGTGGTCCGCAACGTAAATCACCGATCGCGAAACAAGAAGAGGCGCGCCCGGCGCGCATATGTACGCGGTAAGCGAGTGGTAATAAAAAAATCAGCAAGAATCTTCCCGGTCGCATGGAGTCTCAAACGAAGGAGGATGCCGGGAGATAACGTCGGCAAGGGTTAGGCGAGGAAAGTTGAAGAAGGTCGCGCGCAATCAGATCGCCCGAGAAACAAATCGGATTACGCGTCAGCCGGCGAATAAGACAATTTAGAACCTTCTTACATATGTGCGCGTTGGGCCCTTAGAATACATTAATTAATGATATCGTTATTCGAAACGCGAAACATCTACCTAAGAGTACTTAACTTGATAGAAAAATTTTCCTAAGAATCTTCTGATAAAATTTATCGCTCCTTTATACAATAATATATACTTAAATTTTTTATATACTATATATCGCCGTGTTGATGAAAACGTAACACAAAAAATTAATAAAATTTGTTTTTGAAAATTTTTAATGTCAATTTCCTTTTATTATCGCAAAAATGCTAATTTTTTAATTTGTCATTTTTCTATCAATAGCAGCGATATTAATAAAAATATATATATACATATTATATTTACAATAATATTTTTAATATATATGTAGTTATTATTTATCTAATTAATATATATATGTATGACATGTATAAGTAGAATAAGTTAAAGTAGAAACTAATGTATAAGTAGATGATAGACTGATGCAATAATAATTATCTAAATTAGTACTTTTAGCGTATTTTCTATTAGACTTCGGTTCTAGAAACTTTTAAATAATCTCTCAATAAACACGTCTTCCAGAGATCGTTGGCTGAATAATCTAGGCCAGTTAATTTTCAAAGGCAGATCCGTAATTACGACAGTATTCAATTGCGAATGAGCTATGTGGATCGAAAACCGCCTATTCATACGGTTGCTAGACTCTCCTGCATCATTATCCGGGATAGAATGGACGCACGATAGAAAGTATAATTTGACATTAGATACAGTGCGCATGCAGTAATTACTTGTATAGCAATTAACGTGTATAGGAAGTCGGATACGTGTCAATTAATCGATGTAATGGTACGCGATTAACGCTTCTTCAATTTTTTTTTTCTTGATATGAGAAATCGCCACTCGCGTACATTTGCAAACATATTTCAGTGTGACGTTGAGATTTCACCAGATTTCAAATGATTATGCAGACAATTTAAAAAGTCACTGACCTAGCTAGAGTCAGGATTATTTAATTATAATATAATTATATTATATTATATAATTTAATTATAATATAATTATATTATATAATATAATTTAATTATAATATAATTATATTATGTAATATAATTTAATTATAATATTAAAATTGTTACATTATATAATTTTTCAACCAATGTTTAATTTTTTACTATATTTAATATTGCGCGATAAAAAAGTGCAATAATCGAATAATTAATAATTTCTTTATCTTTCTTAAGAAAAAGATCTATTTCAAATACGTTAAAAAAAATCTATTTCCAAAATTAAAATTGGCGGTTCTAGGGCGTTCTATACAAGACAAACATTCTAAGCTTCTTTCAATCATTTCACCTTGAATCCGTAGACAACCCTCGTCCAAAGATATCGAATTGCAAATTCTATCTGGTAGTTCCGTGAGATGTGGGTGGCGCCGATCGCCAATGGGCCATACGAAAAGATCAGCTCGCCAGTATGAAAGGGGTATCGTCAACGTCGAAGGTCTTGGGAGCAGACGCCCATCGGTGGGTCCCACAATTCGGGCTCACGCTTGTCTGGCTGCAATAGGTACCCGCGGAGACTCACGCCCGGTGCAATTTCTCGTGTATGTGTGTATTCGGTTTCACTTGTCATGTCTCCACTCAATCATTAAGCGGACAATGCACACGACGCGGAATTTCACCCCCTTTTCAAAACGGAAGATCGCCACCGCCCCAGCCGACCATTGTCTCTAGTCTTCGTGAACATCCGGTTTTTGCAAAACCAGGATGCATACTACCTTTCTATTTCCGCATTCTTTCCAAAAGCATTTTAAGTTTCTTTAATTCTCAGAGAACTAATAAATAAACTAAGAAAACTTACAAATTATTTTAAATATTAATAATAATTTTCTTGTGTTATATATATATATTTTAGGAGTCCCAACATACATATTTGTAAAAATGTATAGATATTTAATTAATTGTATATATTGTATATATAGTGTATTATTTATACATTAATATATGTTATATTAATATGCATGCATCTTAATACGCGTTTGAAGTTTAATTCATTTCATCTTTATAATTGAACGAGCGAATATATAAATTAGTTCATTAATTATATCCGAAGCATAATAATATATTGTATCATTCAGATTCCGTATGATTATTCGCGATGTCTCTATATAACAATATTATACTGCAGATCATTAAGACCTAAAAGACGAAATAATTTTCCATTCGTATCATATTGACATATATAATGTAAGGCTAAAGTAAAGTCCGAAAAGGAATCCGTTTCCTCGTTAAACCGACGATATTGCCATTCATTTTATCTTGTTGCGAAATGCCGGTCGAGAAAACCAAGATCGTCTCGTGGATCTCCGCGTCGATATGATCTCCGTCGACATCGACACGCCGGAATTAACTCATAACGTGGAATGCCCACCCAATTACGGATTCCAGCGAAAAGGGGAAGAGTCTGCAGAATCGGTAGCCATCGTGAATATCGAGCAGCGATGCATCGGCAATGCAGAATCGCTCCGCGATCGCATCTCGTCCTTTTCAGAAACTTGATGCGCGATCTTCTGTCAATTATCTCAATATAAACGGTGATGTCGATAATATCAGTCGTTGTGCCGCCAGAGAATAACAATATATATTGCTATTCTTTTTTGCTATTTTATATTTTCTTCTCTCACTTTTATCGTATATCTCATGGATTCACGTTAATATAATGAGAATTTTTCACATATCTGTTAGAATCTCTAAATTTCTAAACCATACACTTTTTAATCCAAAATTGTCTAAACATAGAACGACGAAATAAGAAGAGAAGCTTGAACGAAAAGGAAGAATGAACGTATATGTATCGAGGGTAGAAAGCCAGAGGGAAACACGGAGGTGAGGCGCAATGGGGGCCCGGGGTGGAGGGACCCGCTGGTGACGCCAGGGAGGGGTTATACGCGTTAAGCCTGGTTCTCTGTGGTTCCCATGGATTCCAGGCGGGTATCTTCAGCGCGGATCGACAGCGCGGACGGAACAGGAGGACGCAGGCCAAGGAAAGAGAGGAGGCTGCCTGCCATCGCCCGCGTATCTTCTGATGCATCGCCTCACCTTTCAGTGCGTATTTAAACGATACGATAGTTTTATACGAGCGATCTGATATCGGAGCGTCGAGAGAGCGGGAGAGAGGCCCCGGCTAGGCCTCCGCTCTCTCGACTCCCGGCCGTGGCTGCTGCATTCGCCGTTTCTTCGTTCGTACGGGCGGAGATCGATCGCCCGCGCTCTATCTCGTTCCGACTCCAACCTTCGCTCGAACCGACGCATCGGCCCTTTAACATGACGGAAGCATCGAACTCTTTCGAGCTCACGCGGCTGGATCGTTTACGAGAGAGTCCCGTAAACTGCTCCTTTTTTCGCAGCCTCCTCCGCTCCGGACCTCCAGGCGCCGTTAAAAATCGGTTCTGAACCTGAACGATTGTCGAGGAAAAAGTATTGCGGAAGTTTTCAAAATCATGACTGATAGTTGAAATCTTTAACACATTACGAAAATTATTTAATCTACTATATTAAATTACCGCGCGTTAATATTTTAGATAGCTAATTTATATTTCTGAATCACATTAATAAAATTATTTTTGCACGAGAAAGAAGGAAAGAGAGAAAAGAGAAATAGAGCTCTCTCTTAATTCTAATAATAATGATTTCATTTTCAAAAACACGACAAACACGATCTCAAAAATATATTTTTTTACTATTATAACCATTTTTACTGAGCAATCTATGTAACCACATTTTATCTTTATATATAATAATTTTAATATTTGAACTAGACCATAACTTCATGTCACTTCAATTTATATTAAATGAAAAATTTTTACGTAAATATAATAGTACAATTGGTTACAGTCCTATACAGACAAAGGCTCTATTCAATTTCGTGTCTTGCAATAATACTCCCCGTTGTCGAACGACAATCCATTTGAGTATTTTGATGGTCGCTTCGGTGCCCGGGGAATGTCGGAGGTGCAGAGGAACGGCGGATAATATAAATCACTTCGAATCAATTAGACACGAGGGAACGCGAGCCGATGATCTCGCGATGCCGTGCCGCCAGCTGCACCTGTGGGCCCTTCGTCTCGGGTCGCCCGGTTCAGCCAATTATCAGCATTCCGGGGCATTATCCTCAGAGCGGGACTTACGCCGTGTTTAATTGCGAATGGTCGTCTTCTTCTTTTTCAACCCCTCTCGCCCTTCTTCAGATGCTCTTCGCAATATTCTCTTCTTCTCCCGCGTCCTCGTCATTCCAGATGAAGGAATAACTCAGCCGATAATAAAATGCAACCGCATAGCGGATCATTTCATTTCCTGAACCTGAGGAACATTTTTTTCCGCGAGTTTTCGTCCCTTCCTTAAGACGTGTAGTCGTCTTGAGCACACTCGTATCGAATTGGTTCCATAAAAACATGAAGGTAATAACACAAGTAACGTCATAAAATACTCGTAATAATAGAAGTAATAAGTCAAATACACGATCGCTTATGCGACTTATAATTTCAAATTAATATATTGACATTTTGTTTAATCGAAAGAGAGAAATGCAATTTAATATAAGTACATTAAAATGTGAACATACAAATTGCATTAGGTTCACTGTTTATTTACGACGCGTAACACCGCGGCAATGATATGTGAACATCGAGTCTCTCAAATATTGG